GAGGAAGGGAGATTGCTTATTCAGTCCAACCCTGGTTCCAGCCCTCCACTGCCTTTCTGCCCCATTTCCTTCCCCACCACCCTGGCTACTGGCCACCAGGTTGAAAATAGGGCTCACGTTGAGTTCCTCAGTAAACCTGGTTCAAGTTCAAGCCAGCACTGGGTCTCATTGCCTAGACAAAGGGGGGAAAGGCCCAAGTTCTGCAGTTCTTGCTTGCCAGGCGCTCCTCCTCTGCACCTTTTGGCTTCTGACCCCAACAGCTGTTGTCTGGAGGTCTGAATCCTGCAAGCCAGTTTCCCCTTCTCAGGCTGTAACCACGCCCCGCCTTGCAGCTGTTCCCAGCCTCTGCACAGAGGAGACCGTCCCCACTCAGCTTCCCCTGCCCCCACTCTGTTCTCTTTAATGGTTTCCCACTACCCTTCCCTCCTACCCACCCTCCTCTGAGAGACACCATCCCTGCTCTCATTCAACACATTAGCAATCGTTTTTAAAATAATTCATGCTCATTATGGAAACACGAGAAATAGAGAACGAAATTTCAAAGAAAAAGTACTCATAATTTCACAACCCAGGGAAAACACCACTAACATTTTTTTAACATGAAAAATTTTAAATCTATACAAAAGTAGAGAGAATAATAAAATGAATTGTTTATGAATTTGTTCACAGAATACTGAGAACTTTCATTCCCAGTACCTGGTATATTTCTCACCATTTTTTTCTTTGTATTAAAATCATACTGTTCATTTATTTTGGGGGGGGGGTCTTTGCAATATAGCACAAAAAATTCCCCAAAGTCTATAAAAAATTCTTGAAAATTCATTTAACTGTTGCATAATAGCCCCAGATATAGGATGGGGGAAAATAGGTGTATAGTTGTGAGTATGTGAAACACAGTGTTTACTCTTGTATTATTATTTATTAGTTATTGTATTTTTTTCCATATGAACAACTGTAAACCTACTTTTCCCCAACCCTGTATATATATATATTTAAATGCTGATAGGTTTTTACTGCACTGAAAAAATATATATGCATTTATATTTTATCATTTAAATCCAGGCTGTTGTCAGGAGTGACTTCCCCAGGTTTCTTCTTTTTTAGAGTCTGTTTCAGGAAGCATTTTCTCAAAGCCCAGCCTCTGGGCTGCTCCCCACACATACCCAGCACACCCGGATACAGGCTCCTTAGGGCGAGCACTGTATCTATCATTTCTTAAGTCCCAGGGCTTGTCACAGGCCCTGACACATAGTGGGTGCTTGGGAAATGATCAATTAGATGTAGTCTCTCTCCTCCACTTTTATTTTTCATTGTTTTCCAAATTCTGGAAGAGTCCCCTCTACCTACTGCTGGGGGTCCAGGCCTCCCTGCTGAAGCCCAGTGTGTTGTTGGAGTCCCTTAGGACTATTTCAGTTGCAGCTCTGACAGTTACCAGCTGTGTGACTTTGGGAAAGTTTCTCAACTTCTCAGAGCCCTGATTTCATCTGCTGGAAAAGAGGGAAGAGGGATAATCATAACACTTAATGCACGTGGTTCTGAGGCTGAAATAGATGAATATATATATATCTCCCAGTCAGCCCAATGTCCAGAAATAGGAAGCTGTCAGCAAATGGTTCAGAAAGCAGTCTCTCCCACTTCATTCATCTCCTTTAAAGAGCTGGCAGCCTGCCCAGGTGCTTGGCCTCCAACCTTCAACGGTTTCCCTAGAATCTTCCAGCCTACCCTCCTTCCACTCACCTTTATTCCCTCAACACCACTACCCACCTCCACAGGGCATCCTCCTAACCTGGTATCTGACCCTATTGTCTACCTCACAGCCCCAAAGCTCTTCTCCTGGCTGTCCCTACCATCTGCTGTCCCCACTCTGTCCCCATTAGGCCCTTCACCTAGGCCTGAGCCTGCCAGCCTCAACCCTGCACCCTCAGGCAGGCCCACAGCAGCTCTGTCAGGCTTGAGTCAGGACTTCTGGAGGCAGAGGTGGCTGAGGCCCTATCACTGGGCTCTTGTCCTCCCAGAGGTAACCCAACCCTCAGTCCTCTCACAGGAGCAAGAGTGCTCTTTAAATACTTAAATCCAATCATGTCAACCCCCTTTTAAACCCCTCAGTGGCTTCCCAGAGCTCTTAGGATTTGACTAAAATCTTTATTGTCCGCTCTGCAGGCCCAGCCCCTGATACACCTGCCCTGGCAGGACCACACTGGCTTTCCTTTAGTCCTTTAAACTCACCAAGCTTCTCCCACCTCAGGGATGTCACTCCCTCTGCCTGGAAAGCTCTCTCCACAACACCACACCTTCTCCTAGATGACTTCATTTGACCCCTCAATTTTTTACTTTGAAATGTTTCAAACCTATCGAAAAGTTGAAAGAATAGTATGATGAACACCTGAATACTCTTTTTACCTAGATGCATTATTTGATACTATTTTAAGGTTATTATTATGTTTTAATGCAAACATATCCAATTAAAATTTCAGAGAAAAGGCTAAACTGCTTAACTCAGTAAAAATGTTTTTTTGCAATTGTTCAAATGAATACAATGCTTCCAAAATGCTCTTTGGAAATTCTTGTAAATTTTCTTGCTTGCTTCCTTGCTCTACTGCCTTTGTTAATATTTTGCACGCGCACACATACACTCTCATGCCTTCAGGTCTCCTCTCTCCTGTTGCCAAATCCTCACAGTGACCTAACACTCTCCATGACCTTTTCCAATCCATTCAGGCAACAAATATTTACTGAGAACTTGGAGTGCCTGACGTTGCCAAGGGTCCCCTAATAGACTGTGTGTGTGTCAGGGTGCTTCCCCCCTTTCCTCAAAAATGGAAATGATTTAATCCTTGAAAATTCAAAAAAAGCTGGAAATAGTCACTTATGGGAAAAACCCAAGTTGGGAGAATTCCTTAGGGCTCTTTTATGGGTTGGCATTTTTAACAATTGTGAGTCACTCCTTGCTCTTCTCAACACTGGGAGCATCTAAAGGTCTTAATTAGGTGCTGCAGTAGGAAGCAC